GAATCTTTATAAAGAAATTTTGATAAAATCTTAACCAAATCGTCTTGATATGGTCATTAAAATAATAAACTTTGTACATAACCAAATTTTCTATACTAATATAAGATAAAAATCACTACAATTTTAAATATATATAGCGACTATTCTTTAAATTTGCAATAAAATAAAATATATTATTTAGTATTAATTAAAGTTAAGTTTGCTTACAATATCAAGACCGCTTCTTGATAATACATGCATATTTTTGGTTAAATTATCCAAGTTTTTTACTTGGTCAATATTTTTGCCTTGCCAATGAATTTTAAACATTTCACGAATTAATTGTACTAATTTTTTTACTGCACTACACTTTTGAAGCTCTCTTTGATTGGTTCCTCCAATAAACCTATTAAGAATATCTATTGTTACCTTTTCATTAATATAATCATTAATATTTTCTTTTGTTAACAATGCTGCACCTTGTCTAAAATTAAATAATACAAATATCAGACATGATATCAATTATAATATATACGTATATATTTAATATATACGTATATATTTAATATATACATATATATTTAATATATATACATCTTTCTTGTATTTCTTTATAATTTTTAACATGACCCAATACTAATTGATTAAATTTGTGCCAAAAATCACTTAACATATTTTTTGTTTTAGTTTGTATCTCTGTTTCTTCTTTAGAATAGGGTGGATACCCAAATATTTTCTTAACAAATTCATTGATACATGTTGCCAGGAAAATCTTGCTCTAAGAAAGAGACATTTTATTTCTTTATTCCATATACATGCACCATCCTAAAAAAAATTAATTTTATTTATTTATTTTTATTATTTATATTTTTTTTTTTAAAAAAGAAAATAGAATATATCATAAATCTTACTCTATTATTATTTATTTTTGACGAAATTGCAGATGAAGGTATTGATGATTCATTAAAAGTTCCAATATTTTCTATTAATGATGAGGATGCCATATATATTTGGTTGGCTAACTGCAATATAGATGAATGTTTTACTAGCCAATTGCATATTATTTATCCCATTAAATTTTGCTGAAATTTGACTAGCTTCATATTCTCGTAGTTTTCCTTTAGATTTTTCTTTTATAAATATTAACGAATTAAAATTTAATA